GGTTTTGAAGATCCAGCTCGACAAAGGGGTATAAATATAAATTGGAGTCGATGCCTGGCGGGAGGGTAAGATAGGTAGAGGTAGGGGAGTTGAGACTGGGGCCACGGTTGGCGATGGGTCTGGGCGGGGCCAGGCTCTGAGGTTGGGGGTCGGGATGATAGCCACAGTAGCAGCCAAGCTACAGTGGGGGCTGGCAGCCGGGCAGCTCTGTTCCTAGCCCTGCCTCCAGCTCAGCCCGAGGGCAGGAACACAGCCACAGCCAAGGCTGGGGGCTGGTGCAGCACCGGGATTGAAGACACAGCTGGGCCACAGCGGGGGTTGTCAGCTGGGCCCCCAGCCAAATGCAGGGCTGCACCGAGGCTGGAGACGGGGCCAGGTGCAGGGCTGGGAGCCAGAGATGATGGTGGCAGCAGGACTGGAGCAGAACTGGGCACAGGGAGGGTCTGAGTGGTGCTCCTTCCCCATCCCCATTGGAACTGGCCCAGGACCCCCTGCACTCCTCCAGATGGTCCCCCACCATTCCCTAGAGGGGCATGCCCCACACTTTGAGGATCTCAGAAACAATCAGAAGTTCAATCTTCATAAACCCACAAAAGGAGCAGAGCTCCAGCTATGCAGACACACGTGCACTATGGCATGCCCTGGCTTTTGAGGTCTTTCCAGTCTTACCATACCACTCCTGTAATATATTTTCTTTGGATGGAATCTCATTTTGAAAGTGAATGATGATGCTGACAAATGCGTATGGTAGATCTCTAGCAGTGTACACAGGTCAGTGTGAACTATGGGACTGGGAGAGGAGAGGAGGGCAACCCATCAGGACTCTCTGGCTATGTCTACACTGGCAGCTTCTTGCACAACAACATCTTGCACAAGAACTCTTGCACAAGAAAATGTCCACACTGCCATGTGCGCGCTGTGCTTTTGTGCAAGAGCTCTCATGGCAGTGTGGATGCTCTCTTGTGCAAGAAATCCCTGCTGAGCGTCCACAGTGCCCTCTTGCACAAGAGCTCCTGCACAAGAGGGCTTACACCTGTTAAAAAAGAGCGCAGCTCTTGTGCAAGGAGCCCTCTCTTACCACGCCGTACTGTAAATTTCCTTGCGCAAGAGCAGGCAGGCAGTGTAGACGCTCTGCAGATTCTTGCACAAGAATGACCATACTTGCGCAATAACCCACCAGTGTAGACATATCTAATGTGTAGAGTGTGTGTTTGCTTGTCTGCTGTAATTTCTAGATCCACGGATCCTATCCATGCCTAGCCCAACAGGGGAGGTGCCTCGGCCAGAGCACTAAATGCCCCAATAGCAAGGATGGGTGAAAGCACAATCACTGGGCTCTCCAATGAACTCAGCCAGGAAAACGACAGAAAACAGCACCTCCCAAGTCCCTGGGGGTAGACACTTTACAAAACCCCTCACTGACTATCCTGGGAGCCTACATTCCTCACTTTGCCAGACACTAACAAACATAGACTGAACCCAAACACTGGATTTGTGGTTTATTACAACAAACTGTAACCCACTAGCTCACTTTGTCCTATGGATGCAGAAGTGCACTTTGAATGGCCCTTTGAAATAACTGCTAACTACTTAAGCTTAACAATCTGTTCTGCCTGGCATTTTGCTGGAAGGAGCTTTCCCAGAGTTGAAGAGCTGTGTGTGGCTCCAATATTTGTCTCTCACCAACAGCAGTTGGTCCAATAAAAGATATCACGCCTCCCACCTTGTCTGTCTGCTACAAAGTCGGTCATTTATTTGTACGTTTAATCTGTCACTGTGTGGAAATCAGTAAAGACACGGACAACGTGAATACACATTGTCCCATCGCTGCACTTGAGTGGCAGACATTATACAATACTAACATTTACCTGGAATCAAGAGCATTTCTGACTAAGACACTTACAAAGCGTGAGGAGTTGTCATTCCTCACAGTCTTGGCATTTCCAAAGGCCTCTAGCAGGGGGTTGGCGCTGATGATTTGATCTTCAAGGGTCCCCTACAAAGCATAATTATTGACAAATTAAGGTTGTTATAGACCTGTAAGTAGATAGCAGTTTCAGAACAGAGCATTTAATTCCATCTCCAGTTTCCAACTCACATGCATTTTGCCTGGCTCTTCCTTCTTCTTCTCCCCAGAAACTGCAATTGTTGCGAAGTACTGGATGACACGCTTTGTGTTCACAGTCTTTCCAGCACCGGATTCTCCACTGTCCATTCAAACAGAAAAGCAAAGAACACATAACCAAAGAGTTCTCCTTGCAGTGCGCAGCAAAGCCAGCACAGACCAGAGCAGGGAAATGTACATACGTGATCAGGATCGACTGATTCTCCCGATCTATGGAAAAGACAGAACAAAAGCCATTTTTAAGAGAGTTACTAAGGAACACTAAACTGAAATGTGTTTCAAGTAAACATGAGACTGACAATTTTTATATGAAACTTTTTTCAACAAAAACTAGCCTTTTTTTCTTCAAACTAGACACTTTTTCTAGCTCACTTCTTCAAATTCCTGAGATTTTGTTTTTTTATCAACATTGTAAATTAGTTTTGAGGAGAGCCTACTTTGGTGTCCAGAGTGTGTTGGAGGGATTTTTGGTCACTTTTTCTGTTTTCTTTTGTTCATCTTAATTCTTCATTTTCACTATTCTATAATGTTCCAGAATTGAGGAAGTTTCCAAAAGCTACAAAGTCAGAAAAGGAAAAAACAAAATGAAAATATGAATATAAAATAAAGCTAAGGAGATCATCCACTCTACTGTATTCAGCAGTGAAAGAGAAAAAAAGAGAAAGGAAGAAATAGTAAAAATTCATTTCATTTTAGAATAAAATTGCTTCACATTTATTTTTTTCATGAACTATTTTATCTCTCTCTCTCTCTCTTTCTGTTTCAATCAATTCCATGATATCTAGATTTTGAGTTGAGCTCTCATGGACTGTCAGAACCAATTTATATACATTTTCATTCACCAAATTCTATTACTCAGAAATTCAATCACGACTTACATTTCTGTAAGACAAATGATTATGCAAAAAATACTCTGAACTAAAAAACAACTAAGTTTGCAAGTTCACTCAAAGTTCTTGGAACTGACAATACATGAGATCATACTAGTGTGTTCATCCTGCTATGCTGAAAATACCATCAGACCAACATTTGATCAAAGCATTTTGCATTTTTGTTCTAGACCCGATGGAAACCTGTAAATAAATTTCAGAGGTTTTTTTGATTAGTTGGCTGTTTGGTTTTTTTGGTTGTTATTTAAGAAAAAGTAATCCAACTTTCCAGAACACTAAAAAGGGTCTGTGTGAAATTTGGGGTCAGAGATAGAATCAAGTGTTGGGCACAGTCTTGGGTTAGTTTCAGTACAAATTTGAATTAATAATTTTCATCTGAACTACATTGCCTATTACTACCAGCCCTTCCAGTCTCTTTGCCTATATGTTAGGGGGTTGATTTTTAGACAAAATAAGTGCAGAAATGTATCATTTGCATTGGTACTCATGCAGAGGATGGATAGGAAGAAAATATGTCTCACAGACATATGTCACAGGTGCATGCACCTAATTCTGCTAAAATTCAGTCACTGTGATTCCTCATTTAAAATTTTCACCATATAATCACGTTTAAATGGCTGAGCCGCTCACCCGTTAACATGAACTGATAGGCGTTGTCAGAGATGGAGAAGATGTGCGGAGGGGCCTCTTGGCGCTTCTTGCCTCTGTAGGCCATCACCACCTCTGGGTTGTACACTGGCAGCCACTTGTAGGGGTTGACAGTGACACAGAAGAGGCCTGAGTAGGTCTGAAAGAAAGGGAGAGAAGGCAATTGGATTCCACATGGTTTAGTGTAGCTGTTAGTTTGGGAGGCACAGGAAGGCTTCAGCGTGTACTTACATAGATCATCCAGGCTGCATAACGCTCTTTGAGGTTATACAGGACACCAGGTTCATGGAGATGGGTCATCATTGCCATGTCCTCAATTTTGTCAAATTTGGGAGGGTTCATGGAGAAGATTTGATCTTCCTTAACAGTCAACGTCTGGAAGGAAACAAGGGACCCATTTTTGTCAGCTAGGACACAGGAGGAACAAAATGCTATTCTTTACCCCTTAGTTTTACTTACTTCTCCTTTTTCCGTCTTGACTGTGGCCTTCCCTCCTTCCCGACTCTGGAGTACACTTTTGACAAAGGATTCCTTGGGATGCACCACAAAGACCGATGTCTTGGCATCGAAAGGCTTGTTCTGGGCCTCAATTCTCTCCTTCTCTGACTTGCGGAGGAAAGGAGCTGCCACCCCAAAGACGGCCATCTCAGAGTCTGAAGACATGGCTGCGGTTTATCTAGGGCCCCTCGGCAGTGAGCTCTGACAAGGAGAAAATGTTACACTGATGCATCAGTTGGGCTACCTCTGACATTTTCTACCCGTGGGATGCTTTAATCTGGGTAAATTGTTCAAAAACTTATGTTGAAAATCAGCATGAATAAAGTTCCTCACTGGCATGCAGAATGAGGGGCAAGGTGATGAACTACAGTCCTGAAGGTCTGAGTCCTGCCTACTCTCACACTTAAATGCCACCTTGAGTTCACTTAGCAGCAGACTGGCTCCCCATTCCATTGGGCTGGGGTAGTCCAAGTTAACCAGACATGATGCTCCCACTTTATTCCCTTGTGTAGTGTTAGCTATGAAACCGACCTGCTTTAACTGAGCCAGACTGATGATGAGCCATTGGCTTGCTGGCATCTGACTTCTGGCTCAGTTAGGCATTGCAAAGCAGAGCAATGTATAACAATCTGGGCTCAGACTATGGAGAAGACCCTTACTACTTTGCACATATAACTGGTGACTGATTGTGAATTACTGAATTGTGTGAATTCAGTGATTCAAACAAAGTGAACAATCAAAATCATGAATAACACAGCTTTGAAATGAACTGTCAATGTTCTATTTTAATTTATTCTCACACTTAGTACAGTAGTAAATGTACCAGAGTATAATTTACAAAAATCATTAAAACCAATACTTTCAAAAATAGGACTTGGAATTCTAAATCATTCTTAGGTTTTTACATAAACTTTGGATTTCTAACAGCAGGGAATGGCTGAGTTCTGAGCAATAGTGAGAATTAAGCCTTTGTAGTACATGTTACAAAATTGCTTGTATTTTCAAATGACACATTTCAGTAAGTTTGATATAGCCAATTCTTGACAAAGTGATAATTATAATAATACCTGTGTCTGAGGGGGGGAACAGAGTAAGATTTCACAATATTTTCTCAGCTGGAGGGCTCTAGTCACTTCGGATACAATGATATTAAAGACCTAACATCTAGAACTGATCACTCAGATTGAGAAGCACCAGCTGTCAGTGGCTTCAAGTTCCATCTACTTTGGAGACCTGTACTGGCATAGGCAGCACAGCCCAAGCACAGGACTCAATGCATTTGGACAATGGGCATAACTACTAGCAGATATATCAAGTAACTCCGCCATGAAACCTTTAGGAGTTTCATGCCAGTCCAAAGCCTGGATAAAGGAGGAGGGTTGGTCAGATAAGTGTCAATGTGCTGATTGTAAAACAACAATATGAATGAAATCTGATGCCAGTACAACTAACTGATAAAAGATGCCGGCTCGGACGTTGCCCAGTTAAACAAGGTCCACGATACCAATCGAGCGATTGGGGTTGGGTCGATAAGTTGGCTACCAACAGGAAGCTACAACTAACACATATACTATCAATTAGAACGTGGAATGGAAGGAAATAGTGAGGGAGGCATCAAACACCAACGGGCGTTGAGCCCATGGTTGTTGTTGTTGATGATGATGATGATGATGGTGGAGCAAGTGCCCATTCAGCTCTACAGAAATCCCACTCTGCATAGTCTCTTATCCCTTGGAATTAGTAAATCAGGGTCTTACCTCTTTTGATATCCAATGGATTGTATGCAGGATCGAAGCTGACCAGTGCTGTAAACAAAAAAATAGAAATTTGCTTCTTACTACTGAATGAAACTCCAGTGATAAATTACACATTGAAGATACATAGGCAACTTGAAAAGCAGATTTGAAAACAGAGCCAATCCCTCATGGACATGAGTGCTGGTGGCAGATGTGTGGAATGCAGGGGGAAATTTCCCCTCTACAAAAACTTAGATCCTGCCGTATGCTCACCTTAAAGCTTTCTGTGTAAGGACAAGGCAAATTTTTTCCCAGGGGTCCTTTTATAAGGTCTGATCTGCATTCGCAACAGATCTTCAGTCAAAGCATTTTTGGCTAACCTTTCTCTGGCAAAGTATTGTCTGGCATACTTAACTAAAGGCATAATTGTCATTTGACATGACTAGATATAATTAGAAATTTTTGATGTCTTACCGGCTATATGAATTAATCGCCTATAAATAATTTGACAAGGGAATTTGGCCTAATGGGTCAGCTAGAGAACTGATCCAGGGCTTCAAAGTTCTATTGCTGGCTTTCCACTAACTCTTGGAATGTCCTGGGGCAGATTACTCAGTATTGCTCTCAATTCTTCTCACCTAGAACATTGTCAGAACGATATTTATCCACCTCGCGGCTTTTGTGAAGTTTATGAAGAAATGCTTTAAGACCCTTCTGGCTCTCTCCACTCTATTAAACCAGGTCTCCTTTCCCCATTGTGATAAGGATCTCCTTTCTTTCCCTTGTTCTTTCTCCCCCCCCCCAACATTCCATGTGATCTCATCAGTAAATAGAGCAAATACTTGAGTGACAGAGCTCAGCCCATAGAAATGTTTCACATCCTAAAAGATCGTGTTACTTACTAATGGGGGTGTTACCCAGGGACCATATCAGCCAAAATTCTTCTGCTGCCTCTCCTATCCTTGCATTGTCCTTCCAGAAGAAAATCAATTGAAGCATAAAGATGATTCATGCTTTGGTACAGACATTCCCCAAATACATGCTTAATCCACAAACACCTCCTAACACACAAAAATACCCACTCCTCAAGACTCCACCTCCTATTTCCACACTCCCATGGTTAACACAAACAATTCCCTCAGGCAAGTCAGCAACACATGCTCTGGCCAGCCACTCCTGAGCTATATTACCAAGTGACCCCAGCAAACTCCAAGGAGCAGACTTTCCCCACAAATGTGCATCTTGTACTGCCCACCAATCTCCTGGACAACACAAGCTCATAGAAAGTCCATTGTTTCATTAATCGAATATAAGAACAGTCAGACTGAGTCAGACGAAAGGTCCATCTAGCCCAGAGTCCTGTTTTCTGACAGGCTTCTTTTGGAAGAAGCTTTTCCTGAAGAGATCTTCTGAAAAAACTTCTTCCGAAAGAGAGCGTCTACACTGCCAAAGCACATCGAAAAAGCAATCTGCTTTTTCGACAGACAGCATCCACACTGAATGGGTGCTATCTCACATTTCAGCTGTGTTTACTATGGATGGAGTGGTCACCAGGGCACCTGTGCTTTTTCCTCTTTCCTCTTCTTGTGAAAGAACTCCCTCCTCCCCATCCACACACAGCTTTTTCCAAAAATGCTCTTTTGCAAAAAGGCTTCTTCCTCATAGAAAGAGGATTACCAGTGCCAGAAAAAACTCTCTCTTCTTTCAATTTTCTTTCAAAAGAACACAACTGCAGTGTGGATGTAAGTGAAGTTTTTTCGGAAAAACGGTGATTTTTCCAAAAAAACTCTGTAGTGTAGATGTACCTACAATGGCTAGTTTCAGCGTCCCAGAGGGAGTGAACAGAACAGGGAATCATCAAGTGACCCATCCCATCACCCATTCCCAGCCTTTGACAAACAGAATCTAGGGCAGTCGTCCCCAACACGGTGCCCGCGGGCACCATAGCGCCTGCAGGGGCACTTATGTGCGCCCGCCAAGTGATCAGGGCCGGCCGTGCCCAACCTAATTAATAGTCATTGATAGACCTATCCTCCAGGAATGTATCTAGTTCTTTTTTTTAACCTTATTATGATCTTGGCTTTCACAAAATCCTCTAGCAAAGTGTTCCACAGGTTGACTGTGCATTGTGTGAAGAAATACTTCCTTTTCTTTGTTTTAAACCTACTGTCTGTTCAGTTCAATTTAGTGAGCCCTAGTTCTTGTGTTATTAAAAGGAGTTCATAACACTTCCTTATTTGCTTTCCTCACTCCATGATTTCCTCCATGATTTTATAGCTATCAGTCACATCCCCGCCTTTGTACCTAACATTATTTTGCTATTACTTTATGCTCCTTTCTATTTTCCCCACTAGGATTTCCACCTTTTAAAGGATACCTTTTTGCCTTTCACTGCTTCTTTTACTTTATTGTTTAGTCAGTAGGACATTTTGGGGTCTTTTACTGTTTGTTTTTAATTTGGGGTCTTTAAAAAGTTTCCATGAAGTTTGAAGGGATTTCATTTTTGGTACCGTACCTTTTAATTTCTGTTTAACTAACTTCCTTATTTTTCTGTAGCTCCCCTTTCTGAAATTAAAATGTTACAGTGTTGGACTGTTGTGGAGTTTTCCTCACCACCGGGATTTTAAATTGAATTCTATTATGGGCATTATGACTAAGTGGTCCAGTTATATTCATGTCTTGAACCAAATCCTATGCTGAATTTTGGACTAACTCAAGAGTTGCCTCTCTTGTTTTGGGTTCCATGACTCAGTGCTCCAAGAGGCAGGCATTTAAGGTGACAAGAATCTTTATCTCCATATCTGGTCTTGAGGCAACATGTGCCCAGTCAATATGGGGTAGCTGAAATCCCCCATTATTTTTGTGTGGTAGATTTGCCATTTCTTGACCTCTTTAAACCAAGACTGAGTGCCTTTTGGGGAGATCTATTGTAGCCAAATTCATCACTGGGCTCGAGGAAGACTGCTTGGTTGAAATTCTATGGCCTGTGCAGGACAGAAGATCAGGCTAGATAATGAACTTAATGGTCCCCACTAGCCTTAAAACACATGGGTTTATTAATCAGATGTGAAGCCTGTAATTATTTCTGAAAAAACTGTAAAAAGTTTTCCTATACATTGGCAATGTGGTGCTAGGAGGTGTGGGACGGAGAAGGCTGCCCTTTGCATTGGGGTTCTCACTCTAGTATCTGACAGCTCCCATGGAAGGGCAAACAGAATCACCCCGGGGTCAGCACAATCATCAAAACAACCCAGTGATCCAATTTTCAAAGCCTTCCTACCGTCACGCTGTAATGAACCCACTTGCCTGCTTCTCGGTAGCCTGTCGTACCCCTTCTGTTTCCAGGTAACTAGTCTCTCTCCTTCGTGGGCTTCATTCTAGAAAAAGGGATCTGGATAAAGACAGCACACTCATTCAATAAGGGGGCAGAAAGGGTCCCAGACTGGGCAACCTTTCTCCACCTGTAGCAGAAGGCCACCTCCATTAAGTAATCAATTTTGCTTGATCCCTTGAGGCATTAACTTATGAAAATTGTTCCTACCTAGTGGGTTGTTATTCTCCTAACAGAGGTGCGAGCACTCTTATAAGTTAGCCTCTCTCTTAGCTTTATGTGCAGCGTGTAAGGGCGGGGCTCCATGGTGGATTAAAGCACAGCAAACCTGGATGTGAATCTACAGCACGCTAATCTACTGGCAGCAACTCGCTGTGTGCACATTGCTCCAGTGCACAGGCCTGGGCTGTAGCGTATAGATTAGCAGCACACTGGGACTTTCCTTGCCCTGGAGCAGTGTTCAAATAATCCGTCACTGCGTAGCAAGCTGGTGCTGTTGTAACCCACACACCTGCTGGGGGTGGCACTGTCCCATCCAGTGGCATGGAGACCGCCTACAGAGAGCAGAATGAGCCTGCTCCACAGCTTTAAATCCCTATGTAAAAGGATAAATGGACACAAATCAGATATTAGGTTACTTTAGAAAACTCACAAATCCATTTTCTGATCATCTGACCACTTGTGGAGTGAAGAGTCAGAGAAATAAATAGTTTCCCTCAGGCCAGACAAAAGCTTTCCCTCTCCCCTTTTCTTTTTGCTCTGTTTATATTTTTCTTTCCTCCCATTCCCTCACTGCGCAAAGTCTGGGGCCTCCACTCTCCACCATACTAGTCCATGGGAGCAGCAGATTTTTTTAAATGACAATATCTCATGTGCCTAACCAGAGCTGGTTCCGTATTACAGTAGGCAGGAAATGTTTGATTTAGTACTGGGGATGAAGCCTGGATCAGGTCTTTCCAGAATCTGATGCTACAGCTCATTTAGGGCTTGTCTACGTGATTGCTGCACAACAAGCCATGGTGTCAATCTAGACAGTAAGGCTATGTCTACACTGGCGCGATCTTGCACCAGAGCTATGCAAATGAGGCTAAGCATGGAATATTGCCAAGCCTCATTTGCATATCTAATGAGCTGCCATTTTTGCGGAAGAAGCTCTTGCGCAAGAAGGAGCTGTCTACACTGCCCCTTCTTGCACAAGAAAAACTCTCTTGCGCAATGCTGTTACGCTGATTATTTTCAGGCATAACGGCATTGCGCAAGAGGGTTTTTCTTGAGCAAGAAGGGGCAGTGTACAGCTCCTTCTTGTGCAAGAGCCTCTTCCGTAAAATAGCGGCTCATTAATATACAAATGAGGCTTGGCAATATTCCATGCTTAGCCTCATTTGCATAGCTCTGGTGCAAGATCGCGCCAGTGTAGACATAGCCTTACTGTCTAGATTGACACCATGGCTTGTTGTGCAGCAATCACGTAGACAAGCCCTAAATGAGCTGTAGCATCAGATTCTGGAAAGACCTGATCCAGGCTTCATCCCCAGTACTAAATCAAACATTTCCTGCCTACTGTAATACGGAACCAGCTCTGGTTAGGCACATGAGATATTGTCATTTAAAAAAATCTGCTGCTCCCATGGACTAGTATGGTGGAGAGTGGAGGCCCCAGACTTTGCGCAGTGAGGGAATGGGAGGAAAGAAAAATATAAACAGAGCAAAAAGAAAAGGGGAGAGGGAAAGCTTTTGTCTGGCCTGAGGGAAACTATTTATTTCTCTGACTCTTCACTCCACAAGTGGTCAGATGATCAGAAAATGGATTTGTGAGTTTTCTAAAGAAGTCACCTTTTGGCTCATTCGGATTTGTGGAGAGAGATTGTTTGTTTTTACAAGCATTTGGACAGCTGCTGCTTATTTAGCAAAGGCTCTGTGACTCCTGAAAGCGTCATTCCTCCATGCCATAAGCTAACCAGGAATAGCCTCATTTAACCTTGAAACAGA